GCCAGCTCCATCCAGCTGAGGGCGCTCCGGTCCTGCCGCAGCCACCGCAGCCCCTCCTGGGCGAAGCTGGAGCGCGCCCCGGCCAGCACGGCGCCGGCGCCGCCGCGGCCCAGCCGGGCGCCGAAGCTCCAGCCCCGTGCCAGCGTGGCGCCCAGCGCCGCGCCCACCGCCCCGGCGCCCTCGGCCACGCGCGACCCGCGCCGGCAGCGCCGCCCGGCGCGCCAGCCGCCCACGCCCAGCGGCACCCGCCGGGCGGCGCCGCCGTGCAGCGCGTCCGGGCACAGCAGGCACGGCGCGCCGCCGTCGCCCCGGGGACCGCCGCGGGCACCCGTGGGACCACCGGGACCAGCATTGGCACCCGTGGGACCACTGGGGCCAGCATTGGCACCCATGGGACCACCAGAACCACCGTTGGCACCCATGGGACCACCGGGACCACCATTGGCGCCCATGGGACCACCGGGACCAGCATTGGCACCCTTGGGACTACCGGGACCACCATTGGCACCCATGGGACCACCATTGGCACCCATGGAACCACCAGGACTGCCATTGGCACCCATGGGACCACCAGAACCACCGTTGGCACCCGTGGGACCATCGGGGCCACCATTGGCACCCATGGGACCACCAGGGACACCATTGGAACCCATGGGACCACCGGGACCGCCATTGGCACCCATGGGACCACCATTGGCACCCATGGGACCACCAGGAACACCATTGGCACCCCTGGGACCACCGGGGCCAGCATTGGCACCCCTGGGACTACCGGGACCAGCATTGGCACCCCTGGGACCACCGGGGCCAGCATTGGCACCCATGGGACCACCAGGACTGCCATTGGCACCCATGGGACCATCGGGGCCACCATTGGAACCCATGGGACCACCAGGAACACCATTGGCATCCATGGGACCACCATTGGCACCCATGGGACCACCACTGGCACCCATGGGACCACTAGGGCCACGATTGGCACCCACTGGGCTACCAGGGCCACCCTGTCCATCCTGGTGGCCCTGGTGTCCATCCCGGTGGCCCCAGGGCTCCCGGTGTCCATCCTGGTGGTCACCGTATCCATCCCGGTGGTCACCGTGTCCATCCCAGTGGTCCCAGGGGTCCTGGTGGTCACCGTGTCCAGCCCCGTGGTCACCGTGACCATCCTGGTGGTCCTGGTGTCCATCCCAGGAGTCCTGGTGTCCATCCCAGGGGTCCTGGTGGTCACCGTGTCCATCCCGGTGGCCCTGGTGTCCATCCCGGTGGTCCCAGGGCTCCCGGTGGTCACCGTGTCCACCCCGGTGGTCACCGTGTCCACCCCAGGGCTCCTGGTGTCCATCCTGGTGGTCACCGTGTCCATCCTGGTGGTCACCGTGTCCACCCCAGGGCTCCCGGTGTCCATCCTGGTGGTCACCGTGTCCACCCTGGTGGTCACCGTGTCTACCCCAGGGGTCCCGGTGGTCACCGTGTCCATCCCGGTGGTCACCATGTCCATCCCAGTGGTCCCAGGGCTCCCGGCGGTCACCGTGTCCACCCCAGGGCTCCCGGTGTCCATCCCGGTGGTCACCGTGTCCACCCCAGGGCTCCCGGTGGCCGCCGCCGATGTCGAGGACGCGCGCCCCGGCCAGCGCCATGGTGGTGACGTCGAAGCCGCGGCCGAGCGCGGCCAGGCCGGGCGCCGGGACGGCGCCGCGACACCGGCGCCCGCGGGC